GCCGCATCTTATCCACGATGGAAAAGGAGGTGAAAAACAACGAAAGAAGCCTCGATGACAGTGGCAATTTAATTTTTCCCGTGGCTCGCATCCGATTGCAGTATACACAGGCGGAAATTGAAAAGTGACTCGTTAAGACGTCTTTATGTTATTACGGGATTCGCCGATAAACAGCGCCAGATGGGTCGGCAGGCATAGATTAGCGCGAAAAACGCGGGCGCGTGTGCACGCGAAAACAAAGAAAAAAGAAAGAAGCAAGTCGAGCAGAGGGAAGAAAGGAGGCGAAACGGAGTTGCCGAGAGACAGAAGAAAAGTAGGAAGCGCGCTGGCGTTTCGTTTAGGCCAAGGCGAACTAGTAATTTTGAGGTACTGTTACGAGTTTCTCCCTCTCTCTCTCTCTCTCCTTCGAGCTTTTGCTTTTATTATGCGAAGGCGTGCTCGAAGAGTTTGATTTTTGCGTAATCAACGAGCGTAAGATTTGCGTGATATCGCGTGCTTAATTTATCAGCGAAGAGGCTTTTATTACCGAATGCACACTCGTGTGCTTTTCCATTTACAAGGTAGTTTGATACTTCCGAAGATACTGCAGTTCATAACAGTCTCGTTGGATTCGTCCATCATACAGAAACTACGTAATCAACGAGTCAATAGTTAGATATCGGTAATCGTTCAATGACCCAGTTCTCAGAAAGACAGTAAATAAAGAAGAAAAATAATGACAAAGAATTACATGTTGTAGAACGCGTATGCGGAAAAAGGATCGAGTGAGTTGCGAGAGAGAGAGAGAGAGAGAGAGTGAGAGGGAAGGGGAGGGGAGGGGGTGAGATCGTCCGAGAGTGATATAAGGTTAAGTAGATGAGTGCGAAGAGAAGTCGGTGTGATTTATAGCGAGTGGCTTTAATTGTCTTAATTACGGGAGAGCGCTTCCGTAAGGTGCGCGAGCACGAGGCAATAGTATAATCGCGGGAGCATCTGATTAGCATGTTGCGAGCACGCGCATCAAACGGAATCCTCGCCAACTCTGCTTATTGTTATTTCGCGCGCGCTATGTGATTAATATGGAAATCAGGCCAACTGCTGCTGCACTTACGGCCGGAGTTTCCTTAATTTATTTGCGGCAAGTAACGCACTCGTGCCGTCGGTCTAAAGCCTACAAATGGCTATCATAATAATTTGCCGGTCAGACGATTCCGTAAATTCCTCGTACTCGCGCTCGCCATTTGTTAGCTGCTCGCGCAGCGTGCAGTAGCTCTCCCAAAAATTAGCTTCTCCGTTCTTTTTCTCCACTCTGTCCTGGTTTAATTAATCGAGCTGCGCGCGTAAACATAAACTTTCACTAATACCTGAAATTATTAACCGATACATCATAACGAAAGCTGCGCGCGCGCCGTTTAATTCGTTAACGAAGATTTTCTCGCCGAAATAGCTCACCGTCCAGGCCGTGTAATTACAGTGGAAATACGTGTGCTGTGCGAGTATTGCGCGCGGATTTAATTATTACACTGCGTCGATTTCAGGCGTGCGATCGCGCGCAGCTGAAATTGCCTGGTCGCGTCAGGCGTTCGCTAACTAAATCGGCTCTACGTGCAAGCGCGCGCGGCAAAATTGGCGTACGCGCAGGACGAGCGCGCGATCGGCAAGCTGCAACAGGAACAAGTGATTTGGATCGGTCGTTTAGGAAGTCAATCATCGTATGTGCACATCGCGATGATTACGCCGGATCGAGCTTTGCCCGGCTTTGTGGCTTATTTGCCGCTGGTGATACTTTATGACTCGCCGACACGTAGCGTCACGCAACGTACACACGCGCAAATTGCTCTTCATTGCTCGGCCGGACTGGCACTTTGCTTGCACGCGAATGGCTTATTCGGAGTCTAATCGACCTTTCATTTGACGATCGCTGACGGTCGCGGGGGAAGTCGCTGAATTGCAAGAAACGCTTGGCGAAAAACCAAAGCTCCTCGGCAGCGCGGCAGCGTGGCAGCAGCAGAAGCAGCAGAAGAAGCAGCAGCAGGTTTGCAGCAAAACTGTTTCTCCGCTTGTCCGCATTGGTAGCTTTCTCTTATTCTTGTGCGTATGGTACATGAGAGGGCTGCCGGAGTGCACGCCGGTCATTAAGGCGGAGAATCGCAGCTGGCCCTTCTGCCTCCACTCTCTCTCTCTCTCTCTCTCTCTCTCTCTCTCTGCCCATGTGCACACAGACTAAAACGCGGACTGCACTTTGCTCGCACGCGAGTTTTATGGCTAATCAGCAAGTTACTGCTGGAGAACATCCTCTCTGGCTCTGCTCGAAAAATCTGCATGCCGCGCCGCGCTGCTGGAACGTGCATTAGACAGAACTGCTGGCCGGCGTTTCTTGGATTCCTCGCGTTCACTCGCTCGCTCGCTGCTTTCCGTCTGCGTTCTTTCACGCTTTGCTGCATACGCGCGCCTGACTTTCTGCTGCCGCGGAGAACGAGGATTTTCCTTTGGATTTTATTCGACCTGCTGCAGCCAAACGTCGTAGAGATCGAACGAGTTGCACGATTCACGCCGATTCCCAAACCAAAGTTGCTCTCGATTCACCTGGTCAGCTGGTCCCAGCTCTGACGCAGCAAAGTCACATGGGTCGGTAGTTACGATTAGCTGGACGGAATAAGTTTCGATAGTGCGTTAAATGGCGCGGCGTGGGCGCTTGCGAAAGGACGCTCCGTCGATCGGTCGAAGAGACGCGGACGCTCGCTTTTCGCAAGCGATCCGACTTAACACACGTTACACGTCGAGCGATAAGATCGTTGCCGACATGTAACTCGCCACTCGATCCACGGATTATCACTCGAGTGAGAGTCATTTGCCCGCGAGACTCGGCGAATGCTCCGAGATGTGATGTATTTGAATTTCAAATGCAACCTTGAGGTATAGCCACGTCCGGTGCGCAGCTGGGACGAAAAATGACAAGCTGCAATCAGATGTGCCGGGGCCGCGCGCGGCCAGTGCAGTAACAAAAGCAAAGCATGCCAATCGTTAAGGTAATCTCACGTTGCGGATATACGAGCGATAAATAACAGCATTGTCCGATTATGATTGCACGCGTATTCGCGCGCAGCCCAATCATTCGTTTGTCTCGGCGCACGCAATAAATATCGAAGGCAAACAAGTGCGCATTATGCGCGTTCGTTGTTTTCGGATGTGTTGCCTGTGTAACCCGAAGCTAAGCGCTTTAAGAGATCAGCTCGTCTGCTCCTCTCTCTCTCTCTCTCTCTCTCTCTCTCTCTCTCGCTTCCTTTTATTCCTTCGTCTCCTTTCCCGCCGCCCGTCGACATATGCCTTGTGGGAGGAGAGGCAAGATGGATAAGTAGCTTCCACCTTTAAGATACGCGAGCAGAATTTAAAATTGCGTTGCTCTCGCGCAAACGCCGATTTCCGAAAGAATGCAAAGGCGATATCAGTGACGAGTGATAGATGCGACGGCAAGCGGTCTGTGAAGTGGCCGGGCTGAAGACGAGGAATAACGAGAAGAGCGATCGGAAGCGAGAAAATGGGGATAGAACGGTGGGTGTCTATCATTAAAGTCGGTTAATTTCAAAACTATTTCTTTTTACACGGCTGATCTAGGAAACAAACAAGAAAAAATGATAGAAACGAAGAAAAAAGTATCGCATTGAGCGCCGACGAATATAATTGCAGCTACTGCGCTTCCAAAAGGAACAGATGAAAAGAAGAAAAATACCGTCTAAATATCACTCTATTGTGCGGCGCTCATGTTTCCAAATCCCCGAAACAAATAGATATGATGGGCCGCCAGTGAAAGGAAAGAAAATTCGTAATCTCTGTTGCGAATCGGCGCACAGCAAACACACGTGAAAGCAGCGCGCGTGCAGGGGTCGATGATTTGACGAAGAGATGGGGCCCCGCATTCTTTTGTTGTGTAATAATGGGCCCCGTCGAGAAACAGAAAGAGAGAGAGAGAGAGCTTCCTCGATATTTTTGGCGCCCATCTCTTGGATAGTAGTAGCGCCATGAAAAATGAACGAGGCCTCTCTCTCTCTCTCTCTCTCTCTCTCTCTCTCTCTCTCTCCCGTGGCGTTTCGTCTTCACGACTCGCCTATGCGTTGTGGTTTAGACTTTGGACTTTGCCGCCGCGCACTTTGGGAGGCGTTAATTCGTTTACAAGCGCTATTAATCACTCACGAATTGCTTGTAATCTTGGACTTTATATTGTGCGCTCATAATTTGGATTGTTAGGCAACGCCGCGCGGACGGTCATTATTAATTTGTTGTTCTTTTATCGCAAATCAATTTTTCTTCGTTGATTCTATAACGAAGCGCATTACGTATCATTAGAGACGACGCTACTGTTTTTCTGACTTGATGCGAAGCATCGAAGGACGAACTTTAAAATATTTTCAGACAGCCGAGAAAAGTTTTTTTAGTTGAAGAAAAATGAAATCACTCAAATTATACATAATATTTCGACGGTCGTAATTTCTAGAAAAATATTGGTATCACCGATGTGAAAAAGCAACAACTCACAAGCCAACAAATAGTAAATAGGTTGCAGGCAGCAGATGCCGTAAACGTTTCCTTCTTATTTTTTCTTACAGCGGGAGCGTAAATTTCGGCAAGTCATCGCGGAGTCCCTCTTTCTCGTCTATATATATATAAGCGTTCGCACGATCGGCGCCGATTAACGGAGCAATGCATTTTCAAATGATCCTTCCTTTTTTAATGATCTTCCCAGTCGCTTTCTCGACTCTCCTTCCCGGGAAGAAAGAAAAGCACGAAATTGATCGTGATTGAGATCGGCACGAAGGTATCGTTTATCCTGCGTTGCGTTTTCTGGCTTATCGATCGCATAAGCTGGAATCGCAAGGATCGACGACGAAAGGGAAGGAAGAGTCGAGGAAGGAGTTGAGAAGATGTCGTAGCATTTAAAGTAGTACCGTTTAGTCGGTGAAGACCGAGTGATCGAATCCGACGACGGTTGTCTTAAATCACAGTAACTCTCTACCACTGTTCAGCTCTAGGCCTGGGAGACCACCGAAGCGCGCCTCCGTCAGCCTGAATCTCGCCGCTAGTCATTTGGCCGCGCAAGCCGGCCACCACGCGCACCAGCTCAAGAAGCACCGTCTCGACAATGGCGATTACTACGAGAACGGACATCTTGGTGAGTGAACGCCTACCGTATCTTCTTATCTTAGCTTCTGCGAAGGATCGCGCGCTGCGGCGCCGTGGCGCTACGAGCCCTGGGAGAAGGAGCAGCCGACGAGCGGACGAGCGAGCCTGGGCCATTCGCGGCGCGATACACGGCGAGTCGCAACCTCGAGCTCTCGACGTCCCCTACGCGGTGCGCTGCGCACACTTGATTACTGCCATCCGCGCGACGTGACCCCGGCGGTCAATTAATTAGGGAAATCAAACGCGCCCGCACTGCGCGCGGCCAAATTGACTCGTGACCGCTGTGTGCGGAAGCGCGCTCGTGCTTGCGCGCGCGCCCCGCGAATTCCTGCGAGAATCCACGGTCAACACCATTGCTCCCGATTGCTCCCGATTGCTCCCGATTGCTCCCGATTGCTCGCGATTGCTCCCGATTGATCGCCGTGGACGCGGAGCGCCCGTCGGCCGCTCCTTCTTCTCGACGCCCGGCTGGCCAAGTCGATTGATTCGCCGGCGCGCCCGTCGCCCGAAAATCACGCCGCTCGTCGTCCAGCCGCGAGCGCGACATCGGCACAATTAAGCGCGCGCTCGCCCGCGCTTCGGGGGCCCGCGGCGATGCGCGCCGGCAGTCGCAACGAGTATCGGCAAATAATCGCTCGCGGCTCGCGGGCGCCGGTCAATTTTACGGACGAATGCGCCCGGCATACGAATTACTGCCCGAGCTATGTGCGTACGCGTTAGCGGCAGAGGGGACCGGAGAAACTCTCTAGCTTCGGCCGATTGATTATACGGGCCGCGCGCCCGTAATTGTATAATTATTTTACGATTGCTCGGCGCCCGGCCGGCCGCTTGTTGCAAGGCGCCCTATACGTGGCACAGCTGTCTTCGCGTGCCTGCCTTTTTTATGGCTCGACTATTTGCTTTTCAGATTTATTTTGCCGGATCACCACCCAATGAAATCTCACGTTCGTCCTTGCAAACATTTTCAAATTGCTCCCGTTGAGCATTCGCCGCATTACCGCATTTTACGTAAACGGGAATTTTGCAAAAATTCCAAAGCCAATAGGTCCTTTAACAAGCTCGTACAGCCGAAAAAGGCATACACATTTGGCATTTGCCACGCAATCGGTACTCTAAAAATCTAATCTAGCAACAAGTCGTAAATCTTTTCAAAAACTAAACGATACGCTTTTCTTCATTTCATTATTAAAACGTTCGTGATACCTACTCCAGTTTAGAGGGCGAACGATGGGCGAACTTGGTAGTGGTCTGCAGAGCCATTGAACTTTCACTCCGAAACGATGTCAACTAATTGAAATAATCGCATAATGTTCGTTATTGTTGTCGAGTGCACAGAGTAGAGCGGCACACGTGAAAATAAGTTTGCAGTGCAATAGCACGCTATCGTACCTGTAGATAAGCACGAAAAGGTGACTGATGAATTGGCGTCGATTACGTGCCCGCGGGATGGGCAAAGCACCGTAATCAGAGCTCGGTGTTGAAACCAAAAAAGCCATTGCCGCGTCCGAAGGGCTGCATAAAGATAAAAAGGAAGAAGGGAGCGCCGGCAAGATGAATTGGAGCGAATGGTTGTAAGCGATAACTCTGGGAAAACGTTTACCTATCAACGATACACACGGACGAGGGTCGCGCGCGCGCGCGCGCGCGCGCATGATTTTACTCGCGTGCAGGAAAAGCATGTAAAGTCGATCCTCCTTTATCGGAATCGGTCCTTTATAAAAGCATCAAAACAGGCTTGCGATTGTCAACAGACGAGCCGCTGAAAAATCAAATTTAAAATCGCTCGTCCGTAGGCTGATCGCGAGATAAACTAAATATTTTTTCTTCTCCACGCAGGCCATAAACATCTAAGCCGTATAACCTGTTAAAGCACAAAGCCAAAGCAAACACGGTTCTCATTTTGCCTCGATCGTCTGATCCGAGCCGCTTGAGTTTCCCGTGTTTTTCCCCGCGACCGCGCAGCGTCGTGTATGTTTCCATTTTTTCCGAGGCTCTCGGCCCCTCGGCCCCTCGGCCCCTCGGCCCCTCGGTCGCCGGTAGCCGGGCGGCAGTGCGGGCAGCAGTGCGCGCGGCTATTTATTTTTCTCGTCACTTTTAATTTTCGAAAAAGACAAGTCAGATGCCTATCTGGCATTGTTCGTGCGTGGGCGGCCGCGCGCGTTATTGCTTTATTACGCGCGCGGATATCGCGCGATCGGATCTCGCAACGCTGGACGCGCGAGCACGCGCGGATGCTCGACGATCGAGAGTCGTGTGCCTCGGCCGTTAATTGCGTGGCTGCATCGAATAAAGAGATGCAGTCCGATCTCTTGGCGAATTTGGCGCTTTTATACCCTCTCGCTTTCCGGAGTCGTTAAGCGTCCGCCCGCTGGAATTGTATTAAGCGGCTGGCGCTGCACATGTTAATTAGGGGACGCGTTATTTATGGGTCCGAGCTGCGTCCACTCCAAATCTGCATCGAGGATCATTTTTATAGCTGCGCGGGGACAGATAAATTTCATGACTGCGCGAGCAGAGACACAAACCGACAGGCCACGATCATTGCATCTACATTGTGCGCGCCATCGGACAATGCGGCGCCCGCGCTAAATAATTGCCTTATAAGTCATCGACCGATTTTTCCCGATAGCGGGCGCTTTCTTGTTTCGCGTTTGTCTTTCTTCCGCGCGCGCGCGCGCGGCTCGCGGCAACGAAACAAAACAGCGGGAGAGCCGAGCTCCTGTTTGAACAGCATTAAACTGCGGACACCGTGTTTTTGCTTTTACTGCCGAGGCGTAAAAGCAAAGCGTTTCTCTCCGTTCCAATGGACGGGCCGCAAACATTAGTTCTGTCAGTCAGTCAATCAAAATGCCAAAATGTACACTCGCGGAAGGGCGGCAGGGTTTCGACGCTCTCCGATGCGCCTTGTGGCGAGCGGCGACGTCGGCGGAGCTGTTTGGCGCGAGCCTCGCGTCAACCGACTCGTTCGCGTACGTGTCATCCGGCCAAATGACCCGAGTAATTTGCCGATTGATGTGGAGGCAGAAGAGGCGAAGCGATCGCCGGGGCGCTTGCGAATTGCCCATATAAAGCGGATCGCGGGCGAGCGCGACTTCGCGCAAAAATCGCGAGCCGCGTGCAATCGCGAGGCGGGGGAGCGGATTTAATTACCGTGGCGTTAGAGCGCGTCGGGCGCCAATCGGGCGAAATCGCATCGTATAAAACGACGTTAACGCAGTTAATAGAGGGCCTGCGAGCGGGCGCTGACATAATCAGTCGCACGACAAATATAGCCCCGGGACTGCGAGCGACACGCTTTTAAAGCGCAGGCGACAAAGTATTGCTTTTGTTTTGCGCTGCGAAAGGCAATAAAGCCGGCTGAATTTACTGCGAGCGTTAAGTGTCCACTTGCGCCGGCAAAAATGGCTCTCTCTCTCTCTCTCTCTCTCTCTCTCTCTCTCTCTCTCTGCCTCGCGATCCAGCTCTCAGCCGATTTGCAGCAAATTTCCGGTACGCTACTTGCAGCCGATCGAACCTACGCGCCGCTCGAGACAGTTCCAACGGACAGAGGCGTGCAGGATGTATCCGACGCACTGTTCGCGCGCGTCCTTTCATTCGATTGCGCGTTGAATAGCGTCGTCGGTGGGCGTGCGCGCTTCCAGAGACAGACTCGCTCGCGAAGACATAGATTAACTGCGTTAGCGCTCGTAGGTCAGCCGAAGCGAGCAATAAAGCCGCCGACTAATTGAGGAGCCGCGACTCGCGGAGACGAAAAACTGCAATTGTTTACTCCCACCCCACCCCACCCGCGGGTCGGCTGCGTGCTTGCGAACCCGATGCTCGAACGTCGTGCCGTGCAGAAATTAACGACCTTCCGTGTGGATAACTAATCGAGAAGAATGATGTTGAATCGCGCATTATAATGACACGGCTTCTATGAATAGACAAAAGACAGAGCGCGCGAATGTTGAAAAAAGTCTTGGCAAGGGACAATCCACGCATCGAGGGCGTGTGCGCGCAGCTTCGCTCGTCTCTTTTGTCAATTAGTCAGGGTGAGCCTTGTCGTTCTGCTCTCTCTCTCTCTCTCTCTCTCTCTCTCTCTCTCTCTCTCTCTCTCCGTAGGATCCACCTTCGCGATTGTTACTTCGCGAGCGGGAAAGAGACTTTAACGACGCGGCGCGCTTGGCGCGTTGTGTTCCCTGGGCGTAATTCATCAAGCGAGCGTTAACGCGACGCTTGGTTTTTTTATTAATTGACAGTCCACGATAAATTTTACTGACGAGAGCTCCGCGCGATTTTAACGACGCCATAGGTGCGCGTACTTTGCAGGCGTTTTGTTTAGTCTCTTTGTAGTTTGTCGTTTGTTAATAAAAGTTTATTGGCAATGGGTAGTATATAACTCGCGACGCCTATGCGGACGTGCCGAAGTCACCGTTAAAATTAGAGCGAGAGAGCGGGCATTCGTTACGTGCTCTGGCGCATAGAACGAAATTGAATCTGCGAACATAATAAAGTAGTCGGATTTCGGCATATAGACAAAGGGCCGAAAGGCGGCACGGTAGTTTAGCAATGAGTAATTAGGGAGGATAAATACGAGTCTCGTAAACAGTGGATGCTGGGCGAACGCCAGGCCTGGATAATAAGTGTGGCACGCGAGCGGGAAAATGCGTGAAAACCAGCCGTGAATTATTCCGGCTTACTCGCGCCCGGAATTTCCGGCTTGCGATGTCGGCTCAGCGCGTCCTATAATCGGGAATTTACGCCGCTAAACAATACGCCTAGCTCGCTCTTTCTTTGCAATTTCATCTCGGTGGTCACCTATTCAATACATTGTTGGCGCGTTTCGCTGTTTTTCGAAGCTCGATCAACTATAATGCCAAGAACTCCGGTGCGCCAATCCGTATCGTACACTCGGTTAGCTCGACCGTTCAAATGAGTATCACTCGATGCTCGGCTTATCCATATTCACCGAGACTTGACTCGGACACGTCTCAAGGAAATAAAGCGTCA